CCGCCCTCCTGCGGCGCGCTGCCGCCTGCCGCCGCGGCCGCCGCGCCGGCCGCGCCCGAGCCCGCGCCGCTCGCGCCGGGCGTGCCCTCCGCGCGCCGCTCTTCCGAAGGTGCCGGCCTCGCAGCCGCCCCTGCCGGCGCCGCTGGCCCCGCCACCGGCTGCTCCCGTTGCTGCTGCTGCTGCTGCTGTTGCTGGTGCTGGTGCTGCTGTTGCTGCTGCTGCTGCGGACCCGCGCTCGAAACTGGCGCCGCCAGCGCAGCCGCGACGGGCGACTGCTGCGCCCCGGCCGTCGGCGGCGGCGTCTGCGCGCCGCGGCTGAGACCTGGGGTGCCGGCGCCGCTGCCGGCGGCGGCGGCGGCAGCGGCTGCAGCCCCGGCGGCGCCAGCCAGCTCTTCAACAGGCGGTAGCACATCCATTTCGTTGAGCTGCTCTAAGGATGGCCCCGCCGCCATTGCCATCGCCTGATCTGCGCACACGTGCGTGTGGGTACGTGCATGCATGCATGCGTGTGTTGGCGGGCGCGGACAAGTCCGTGTCGGCACATGTGTGGCGGCGCCGAGGCGCCAGTGATGTGGGCTGGTGGCAAAGTGGGCGGGCTGGGGGGCTGAATCTCAGGATTTGAATGGCAAGGCGCCAAACTGGATGCAATCCAGCTGATTGTGAACGAACGCCGCCACTTCAGCAAAGGAGGCCAAATGGAGACTTGCAGGGGGCCAGAACGGGGCACGCGGGGCCGGGCCGAACAGCCGGCGGGGCGGGACGGCGCGCACCTGTGACCCATTTCAGCACCCGCGTGTCGCCGCCGCCTATGATGGCGGGCACCGTCACCCTGCGGCGCGTGAGCGGTGGCGACGGGGCGCCCTGAGGAGCTGCGCTGCCGCAAGAAGCTCGAGTGAACGGCTGCGATCGGCGCGGCGACACATCAGGCTTAGGTGAGCAGGGCCGCCGCCCCGATTTCCATCCCTCCTGCGCCTGAGTATGCTCCCAGGCCGAGCCACGTCTGCTTGACCTGCGGCCCCCTTGGGCAGCAGCGCCCGCCAGGGCGGCAGCGGGCGCCCGGGCGCGGCGGGCGGCCGGATGACGCACCATTTCTGGACCCATTTGCGCACGCGCCCGCGCCCCTGCTGAAGCCGCATGAAGTGGGCCACTGTCGGCGCGTCCAGCTTTCTTTTGCGCCGCCGCCGCTGCAAGGGTTTGCGCATCACAGTTGGGACGGGCATGGGTGGCGGCGTGGATGCGCCAAGTCAGGACGCAGCAGCAGCGCACGCGCCAGCACGGGCCCCGCCGCTGTGGCCGAGCAAGCAGGACAGCTGCACAGCTGACTGGGAAAGCGCACGGTGCACACGAGCGTTTCATGCCGTGCCAGCATGCGTAGCTCGCAGGCATCTCGCCGCACCTTCTTTTCGGGCTGCCCTTCGCCGGTGCCTGCTGCACCGTCCCCTGCGCCAAGCGCCGCTGGCGCCGGCGAGTGCGGCGCCGCTGCCCCGCCAAGGTCTGACACATCATGCAAATCCTCTCCTCCATCTGAATAGCCGCCACCTTCATCGGCCGGCCCCATACGCTGTCCCTACTGATTGTAGAGCAGATCGCAATATTGCTGTTCAGCTACGGTAAGCTAGTCAGATCCAAGCTGCCTCTGAACGATAGATGATGAGCCCAGAGCTCCAGGTCATTATGATCAATATCTGGGATTGTGCCACAAGCAACCATGTTTCAGCTTTGAGTGCCGAATGTGTGAGTTACATCGGTAATATGATACGGCCTCCCGCCCCTTTCTTACGTGATATACCTTGATGATTTGTGATTATTCATGGTCAGTGCAAGCTCGACATGGCTGGATTGGCCGTCGGACAAAGTGCAGCGGCCATCCAGCTTGAGCTGCGCGTGCAGCACGCTGTGCTTGTGCTGTGCTCGTGCTGCGCTGCCACCACCAGCAAAATTTCAGAATTCCCGAAGAAGGATACCCGCAGTATGCAACTTAAATTTCTTGAAGAGTGCCTCTCAGGCCTGCCTAAGCCGCTGGCCTGGGTTCCTGCCCTCCCACTTGTGGCACAGGCTCGACAGGGCCCCACAAACCGTTGTGCTGGGCCCTTCTGCTGCAGGCGAGGCTGGCCGCACCAGATAATATCGCACATTCCCATTGATGAAAAAACCTGCACGACCAAAGCCGCCACTGTCCTCTTTCCCGCGGCGGAGGGAAGTGCGCGTTTCCTGTCGCACCGGAATTGCTCATGCGCAGGGACTCTCCAACTTCTTGCTTGGCAGCCCTCGTGCTTGATCTTCTTCGTTCTGCTTTTTACACCTCCCAACCTGACACCACCTCCCGCAGGATTGAATATTTTGGCGACACGTAGTGCATCCAGCGTGAATAAAAGCGTGGGTGGATGCCGTCAGGCAAACAGCCCCTGTCACTTGATTGGATTACCAGCGCAAGCTTGCTGCCGCGGGGGGAAGCCCACAAGCGATGAGTCATCATACGCAGGCTGCCGGCCTGCACAACGAAACAAGTCCAGCTTGGTGGATCGCTTTGCGCATTGGATGCCGAAGGAACCCACCTGTGCACGACGGCCGCCTTGTCACCGCGGGATTGCTTTAGCGCCGGCACGCTTTCTGGGAGCAAGCAAGCAGCAGTTGGGGTTGGGAAGAAGATAAATCAGCTACCGTGCACTCAGGTGTGCGGATGTCTCCCCGCGCACGGTCGAGGCGTCTCAGGCCCAACAGCCTGCCACCCCTGGCACTGCAAATTGTAGCACCCCTGGCACTGCAAATGGTTGCGATGCTGTATTGCTGGACCCAGCAATCGAATCAGTACTTCAAGGCCAAACGGCTAAAAGTGTGAGGTATCCCCCTCAGGATGTGTGTTGCCCACGCAGCCACCCGCCCTGCCTCCCACCTGCTGCATACGACAGCACGCTGGCATCACTGCCGGCAGGTGGCTGTGGGGACTGGTGGTCACAGCCTTAAATGCTCCTGGCACTATTTTGCAGCTGCCTTTCTGAAGGTACATTGGCAGTGTTTTGATGGTATGGGCACAAGCCGATAGCCGCATCACGCACATTCCACTCAGGCCACCATGCGTGCGGCCTGCGTCCAGCTGCCGGATTCGCTGTACCTTCCTCGCAGCAGGCGGAGCGCGAGCACGACACGACGCAGCTGCGCACGTACAGCGCGAGTCTCTTAACTGGCCCGTGCATCCCGGCATTATCATTCAAGCAACGTAGTGGCACCTTTCAACCACGAAATCACTAGCGTAGCCAGCCCTAGCGCCAGTCACGGTCCCGCACGAAATCAAGTATTAGACATCTCAGACAGCGTCCAATAGCCGCTCCAGCGGTGTCAAAGCGCTAGTTGTACGGCCAGAGTATCACCCCCATCCTCTCCACTCCATGGCTCGCTTCCACTGGACCCTCGCTTGCGGTGAGCACGCCCCCTGCAGCGTGGGCAGTGACGTGCGGCCAGCAGCTTGAACAACACGAGAGGCTGCGCCCCGCGGCTGTCTGCCTGTGATGTATGGGCCGCACGGCAATCGCCACCCCTCGTATCTTCTCCAGCTTGTCTCCCTGCCTCACCTTGTGTTCACCTCTCCACTCACGCCCCGCAGTCCTGGCGCTGCTGCTGCTGGCCCTCGGGGCCGCCCTGGGCACCCCCCTCAGGGCCAGCGGCCTGACCGCCGCCCGCCAGCGCCGCGCCCTGGTGGAGCAGCCTGCTGGCGGTGCGGCACGCTTTGTCGCGGCGGACGGCGTGGGCTTGCACGGCCGCGCCACCGGCCCTATCGCCGGCCTTGGTGGTCGCGTCTTGGCCGTGGGCACGCGGGGCCGGGCGTCCCGCAGCCTGAAGGGCGAGCGGGGCATTGCCACCGCCAGGTCCAGCACCGAGGCTGCCACCCGCCGCCACCGCATCAAGGGGCGCAGCATGCTTGGCCGTGGCCGCACCGGCTCCAGCTAGATTTGCAGCCTAGAGCGGCAGCAATCAGCACGATTTTTGTATTTTTGCAGCGTGACCACTCATTTCCAGATTGCGTTGGCCGCGCCGACGACGCCCTGCTATTGCGCCCTGACCACTGCTGTTGTGCAGACAAGAGAGCTTCCTCCTGAGCGAGTACGTGACACGCTGCAAACACGCGTGCGCACTCCAACACGGGAGCTGCAAGCTCAACATGACCCTGCGATCCCTGCCCATTTTGGCATAATCAATCCACCACCGCGCCGAAAGGCATGCGCTTCGAGAGAACAATCATGTTGATGTTGATTGCTCCCCTGTGCTGCGATAATGCACGAGTGGTCATCACCGTTTGCCGTTTTTCACGCTGAGAAGCGTGCTGTCCATCTGAACAACACAATGCATGCATGCTTGCATCAACCCTGTGCTGCAACATCGCACAGCTATCACGCATCATGCATCATCCATCCTGCTGTTTCGTTCAAGCATCACTCACACCCATTTGTGTGTTTGTGCATACTGCACCACCCACCCAGGCAGGCATGCAGGCATGTTCAGTGGCACGACCCCGCATGCAAGGGCCGCAAGCACCTAGTCCAAGTAAACGGATCGGCCGCCCTGTCAATCTTCTATTGACACTGTGCTAATAACGTGAATCGCGGCATCTCGCTCACCAGGACAGCGTTGTGCACAGGCGCCTTGCCCCTACCATGCCTTGCAAATGCATGCCAGCAAACCCCTGCATACCTCAGCAAGCGTACGCGTATATTTGGCCCAAGGAGACATGTGCAATCTGGGCACGGTGCGGTGCGGCGGTCCCGTCGTGGTGGTGCTTCAGTGTGGCTTATTGGCACCTTGCCAGCAGATGTCCAGTCCCTTCGTCGCACATGCCGAAAACGCGTGTCGCGCGCGTCTGCGTTTCTGCAACCTTGCATTTTCACAATTGTGCTGTTTTGCAGGGAGGACAGATGGATGCAGCAGGGTGGTCTGATGAATGCAACCCGCCGGCTGATTGACAGGGCATGGCAGGTGTCTGCATTTCCTGGACTAACAGCCATGCCACAAGCCGGTTGGACAGGCTGGCATGATGCTGCCCAATGCGTGGCATGGGTGTAACAATGAATGCGTAATTGCGTAAAGGCACCCCTACCTACAAAATATGTGGCGTGGCTGCGCAACCAGTACCTGCTGCACACTACAGCGCAATGACATCACTACCCGCCCATGGCGGCTGTACAACACTTAAGCAATACTTTGCAGCCGCCGTCCTGATGGCTGTGTCCAAGCACAAGCCGATGGCTGCATCACGCACATGCCACTCAGGCCACCATGCGTGCTGCCCGCGACCATCCGCTGGATGCACTGCACCTTCCTCGCAGCAGGCGGCACCAGCGGCGCGAGCGCACATGCAACGCGAGCCTGCTTCACTGTCCCGCATAGTGCCCGACATCATTATTTAAACAACCTTGATTGCATTCAACCACGAAATCCCCAGCGTAACCAGCCCTAGCGCTGCCAGTCACCCTCGAACACAAAATAAGGTCGAGATCTCAGGCAGCGTCCAATACCGTAGTCACTCGAGCGCTAAAAAATCGCCAGTTATACCGCCAGAGTATCAGCCCCACCCTCGCGACTTGATGGTTCTCTTCCACTGGGCTCTCGCTTGCGGTGAGGCCTGCGCTTACCTGCAGCCTCTGCCTGGGCAGGGGTGCCGCCAGCAGCTGGAGCGACGCGGCTGTGCCCCGCGGCTGTCTGTCTGTGGTCCAGACATGGATCGTGCAAACACACCCTTCACGTCACGTGCCGCCTGTCTCCCTGCCTGACCTTGTAGCCACCTCTCTCCACGCGCGCCCCGCAGTCCTGGCGCTGCTGTTGCTGGCCCTCGGCGCCGCCCTGGGCCCCCCCCTCAGGGCCAGCGGCCTGACCGCCGCCGGCGAGCGCCGCGCCCTGGTGGAGCAGCCTGTTGGCGGTGCGGCACGCTTTGTCGCGGCGGACGGCGTGGGCTTCCACGGCCGCGGCACCGGCCGTGTCGACAGCCTTGATGGTCGCGTCTTGGCCGTGGGCGCGCGGGGCCGGGCGTCCCGCACCCTAAAGGGCGAGCGGGGCATTGCCACCGCCAGGTCCAGCACCGAGGCTGCCACCCGCCGCCACCGCATCAAGGGGCGCAGCATGCTCGGCCGCGGCCGCACGGGCTCCAGCTGAATTTACAGCACCGCGCGGCAGCAACAATGCGCACGATTGTTGTGTCTGTGAGTTGTGACCACTCATACCGAGATTGCGTCAGCCGGGCTGACGCCTTGCTACTGCGCCCTGACCACTGCTGGCGTACACACAAGAGAGCTTGCTTGTAAGCGAGTACGTGGCACGCTGCAAATACGCGTTCAAACTCCCAACACCGGAGCCACAACCTGCAACGTCAACACGACCCTGCCATTCCTGCTCGTTTCGGCATAGTTGATTCACCGCCGCGCTGAAGGGCGTGCGCTTTGAGAGAACGACCATGTTCTTGTTGTCCCCCCCCCCAGCCCGTGTGCTGCAACAACGCACACGTGGTCATCACCGTTGTCACGCTGAGAAGTGTGCTGTGTATCTGAAGAACACAACGCATGCATGCATGCATGCATGAACCCTGCGCCGTAACATCGCACAAGCATCATGCGTCATGCATGACCCATCCTGCTGTTTCATTCAAGCATACCTCACACCCAGTGTGTGCAGGCATGTTTCTATGCCACGGCACCGCATGCAGGGGCGCACGTGATGTATGTAAACAATTATTGGCTGATCCACTTGATAGGTTTCAAGTCTGCATCGACATTGCTTCTCACGTGCCTCGCGGTGTCTTGCTCGCCAGTGACAGTGGTGTGCGCAGGCGCCGTGGCTTGCCCATATTACACCTTACGGAAACATGACAGCTCCCCTGGCACACCACAACAAGCGTGCATGCGCGCATGCGTTCATATACATGTGTGTGTGTGTGTGTGTGTGCGCGCGCGTGTGCGTGCGTGCGTGCTTGCGTGCATGCGCGTGTGCGTATGCGCGTGCGCGTGCGCGTGCGTGTGCGTGTGTGCGTGTGTGTTTGAGTGCGTGCGTGCGCACGCACGCGTGTGCGCACGCGTGTGTGTGTGTGTGTGTGTGTGTGCGTGTGTGTGTGTGTGTGTGTGTGTGTGTGTGTCTCCAATTTGCAGTTTGATGACGGCAGGGCGCTTGCGTTGCGGAGCGGCGCTTCCGTCCTGATCGTGAATTGGCAGATTCTAGATCTGTCCACCACACGACCAGCCGCTTCAGCAATGCTCTAAAGCCTGTTGCTGTTGTCTGTCAATCCTCACCAATTTAATTTGTGCTTGAGCAGGTGTGCAGGGAGGACGAATGTTGCAGAGTGGACGGATGGGTTGATGAAAACCTGGCTTGGCATGGCTGGTGTTTTGAGATAAACCATTATGACATAAACTGCTTGGACAGCAGGCTGAAATCCAACACATGCTAGTGCCCAATGCATGACGTGGGTAGGCTGGAAGCATAGGGGCACCCCTACTGATGATGTAACGCGGCTGCGCAACCACCACCTGCACGCACCGACGCAATCGCGTCATTACGAACGCTCCTGGTAGTACAGTTGCCATCATGATGGCTGTGTGCAGGGACAAGCTGGTTGCCGCAACATGCACATCCCTCTCAGGCCACCATGCGTTTGCCCTGCGACTAGCTGCCCGAGTGACCGTACTGTACCTTCCTTGCAGCAGGCGGCACCTGCAGCGCCAGCACGAGCAGCTGGGCACATGCAGCGCGCATCCCTTTCAAGGCCCGACATTATCATTCAAGCGATCTGTTGATAGCATCCAACCACAAAAACACTCGCGTAACCAGCCCTGGCGCCAGTCACCGTCCCGCACGAAATCAAGAGGAGATCTCAGACAGCGTCCAATAGCCACTCGAGCGGCGCCAAAGTACTAACAACACGACCAGATTATCAGCCGCACCCTCGCCACACCATGGCTCGCTTCCACTGGGCCCTCGCTTGTGGTGAGCACTGCCCATGCCCGGCCAGGCGCATGCGGGCAGCGACCGGAGCGACGCGACTGGAGTCACGCAGCTGTCTGTTTGCAATGTCAGAGTCGCTCGAGCAAATACAACACATAATTTCACTTTCATTTTTTTTTCCGTGACTCATCTTTCGTCCCCATCCTTCACGTGCGCTCCGCAGCCTTGGTCCTGCTGCTCCTCGTCTGCGCCCTGGGTGCGCCCCTCAAGGCTGGCAGCCTCACCTCCGCCCCTGAGCGCCGCGCCCTCGTTGAGGAGGCTGCCAGCACTGCTGTCAGCGGCATCGCCCCCCCTTCTATTGAGGGCAGGTCTGCCCACTTGACCTGTGCCCCGAACCCTTTTACTGGCAGGGCGACACGCTTTTTCTCGAGCTTTGCACCGTCCTCAACAAGGGTGGCAGGGGTCAAGATGTTTGTGTGGTTGTGAGAAATGGCAGCGGCATCACTGGCTGCTGCGTGGTTGTGAGAGTCGGCAACGGCATCCGATGCCGTTGCCGACTCTCACAACCATGACGGGCAGCAGGGAGTGAGTCACTCCCTGCTGCCCGTCATGGTTTGTTAACATGTTGACAAATAATACTGTTATTATTCTTACTCATACAGCATTGCTCATATGAGTGCACACACACCTGTGCCCTGACCATTGTCATCATTTCAACGCCTGTTTTCGTGTCACGCTGCAAGCATGCGTGCGCAAAATAAGAGCGGAACCTTGTGCAATACAGCCACGCCGGAAGGCGTGGCCTTTGAGCGAGAGGCACATGCCTATTATTCAAAACCCTGCGCTTCGACCCTGTGCTGCAATAACGCACCAGTGGTCACCATCGTGCTGCAATGCGCGCCATCTGAAAAATACAAGGCCTCCACATTTGAACCCTGCGCTGCATCAAATGTGTTTGGCCCCCCATCCTCGTTTTCCATTGACTTTTTGTTGTGCAGCGCTTTGCGCTCGATAGACATGCGTACATAGAACACTCTCAGAACCTTACGTAGTCCGACACGCGCGCGCTTGTAAATCACTGTGAGCTTAGCCCCAGAATCATCCATGTGTTTTGACACCCCCTGCATGCAACCTGCAGCGGTGCGCGGAGCAACGCGTAGATGCCTGGCGCCCACGTTGTTGCACGCACGCCACACACATGGCATCCCCGACAGCAAGAGGCAGCGTGGGCGCCTTGGGAGCACCCATAAGCAGCACAAGGCAAAAATCTCAGGGGTCAAGTTCACTCAAGTCCACACACAGCACATGCACAGCGGCCCGCCCCAGAAATGTGTGCAGAGCATGAGGGATGACAGAATCTGTCTTGGAGGTGCTTGCCCACATGTGGGAATGCATCTTAGGAGGGGCATGGGGCATGTCAAGGCAAAAGCCATTGTTTGAGCTCTGTGTGTGCGATCGTGCCCCGTACATCAGCCTGCCGGATGTCATGGTCAATGCAACCTTGTACGGTAGGTTATAGAAAGCTGATAGGTATCCAACGGTGACGGCCGACTGCACTCCGAGATAGTCAAGGTACACGACCGAGTTTCTCTATATCTACACCCTCTTCAAGAACATTTGAAACGTTGGAACAACGTATCTAGCACCTCGCACCCGTGAGAGCAGGCACGCAGCCCCCCCCCCACCCCCCGATTGTTCAGTTCACGACCTACTGGCACGTACAGCATAACAGCGCATTCCAACCAACACCAATGTTGCTTTGTGTGTGAGAGATAGAAGTATACCTCAACTACCTTGGAGTCGTAGTCGGCCGACAACCGTCTCACCGGGGATCAAAGGAACAAGTGTGCGGCAAGCAGCGGAGTGCACAAAGCGAGTGGGGTATCCCTGCCCGTACGAGAGATAGATATATATAGAGAGAGACATGAGATGATTTCACAAACGACTTTCTCACCTGTCACCAAGGCCACCACTGCCGACCCGTCACCCGATCCCACCTTCCCCGTAGCACGCAGGAGGGGACTGCAGCACGGCAGCTGTGTCCGTGCAGCGCATGTGCCTTAAATGGCCCACTGACGCCTGCACAATCAACAAATCAAAGCTCGTGATCATCTCCTATCTACAGCAACACACAAGCGTCAATCGCCTCCAGCGTTAAATCGTATATAAATTTGTGAAGATCTTACACGGGGCGTTGGAGCGGCGTTAAGTCACAAATAAACTAGCTAGTAGACTTATCCTCGCTACTCCATGGCTCGCTTTCACGGGGCTCTGGCTTGCGGTGAGTACCACCTGCGCTGAAATGCACCCGCACCTGCACCAGCACCTGACCTGGAGCAAAGCTGTCCACATCCCTGCGATGAATCCTTGTCCACTCGCCTATCATGCCTCTGGACTGAGTATCAAACCCCATGCCCCCTCCACCATCCTTGCCCGCAGCCCTGGCCCTGCTGCTGGCCCCAGGAGCCCTGGCAGCATCCCTCAAGGCCGGCGGCCTGACTGCCTCTGGCCGCGCCCTGGGCGAGCAGGCCGCCAATGCACCCCCCGTCCTGCGGATGGGCGACATGACCCTGGTCGGCGGCCGCGTCCCCACCATCAATGTGGGCGGCCAATCAAGCGTGTACGACAACCTCAACAGCCGGCACAGCGGCGGCATCACCCTCAGCGGCGGCGCTCTGGGCCCCTTCCAGAACGAGGGCGGCAACGTGTACATCGACCAGTGGCACCGCCGCCGCCTGGCCGAGCAGGCCGGCGCCTCGGCCAGCGGCAGGGTCTTCCCCAACGGCGCCGGCGAGTTCGCCCCCTTGAGCGGCGCCCGCAGCGTTCCTACGCGCTTCATCGGCAGTGGCGCCGGCCTCAACCCTGCCCTGTTCAACTCCTTCGAGAGCCTCGACAAGAGCGTCACCACGATAGGCTTTGGGCTGGGCCGCAGCTCTCGCAGCCTGGGCGAGCAGGCCGCCGCCTCTGCCAACGCCAACATCATGGCCATCGGCGGCCGCACGTCCGGCTTCGCCCCCTCCGACCGCGCCCCCATCACCAACTTTGGCGGCGCGACCACGTTCACCAGCGCCGGCGTGGGCTTCAACGGCGGCCTGACCACCAGCTTTGACAACTTTGGCAACCCCGTCGCCAACGAGGGCGGCCGTGGCCAGATCTTCCGACGCCTGGGCGAGCAGGCCGCTGACAGCAACCCTCCCGCCAACGCTGGGGCGGCCATTGACCAGGTAGTGATGACGTTTGCGCAGCAGCAGCAGTGGGCGCAGCAGATGATGGGTGGTAGCCAGCAGCAGCAGCAGTGGGCGCAGCAGGCCATGGGTGGTGCCCAGCAGCTGCAGCAGCAGTGGGCGCAGCAGATGATGGACGCCACGCCGCAGATGCAGCAGTGGCAGCAGGCGCAGCAGGAGCGGCAAAAGGCCGTCGCTGCTGCCGCGGCTGTCAAGCCCGCCATCCAGGGAACCCAGCAGGGCGCACCCATGACCTCTCCCAAGGCCGGCGCGCCGCTCCCCTGACCGCAGCCAGGGGCCTCAGCGAGGTGTGAGCCAGGCCGCTGCGCGCTTGCGCCGGCTTTGCTAGGAACGCGTGTGCAGCAGCTCGCCGCAGAGGCGCAGCGCATATACAATGATTGCCACACAGCCTGGGGGGCTGTGGTGAACTCCTGCGATTTTTCTCGTTGCCGAGTCGAGATTTTGATGCCTTCTGAGGCGGCATCCTGCGACAGGACACCCCTCACATTTGTGGCTGCAACAGGCCGCTTCTTCACCCAACGTGCAGCTTCCTGTCAGCAACTCGTTGCTGTACTCTACCCTTTGGCAGGCGGCTGCAATACGCCGCCCCTCCCTCTGCAAGCGCGTGTCATTGCTGCGACATTTTATCCGCCTGCTTTTTGCAGCCCAACTAATACTCACGCAGCCCCTGATGGCTTGATGTGTAAGTGCTGCTCATGCACGACGGCAACCAGGCTGCGACCCGTGTGATGGGGCAAGGCTATCCTTCATATTTGTCGTGCTCCCACCCAACAGGGTGAGGTTGGTCAGGCAGCACGATGGACACCCTGTAAAGTTCGAGATTTCTTTGGATTACAGAGCAATGGGCTGTCAGCTCATCCCACCGCTTGAAACCCTGGCGGGTGTGTGATTGAGCCGCAAATGCACTGCGGTGCCAGGCCTTTCTAAGAGGACTCCCCCGCTTAAATTACGGCACACGTTCTCCCAAATACAACCAGCGGGTAGACCACCTGCCTGCGCCGGCGCCCGTGTCCCTTTCTAATACCCCACCCCCATACACAGCACCCCTCACGTGCATGCGCGAGAGGCACCTAAGCCCGCCTGCACTGCTGCCCCGCGGCCACCGCTGCATGGTAACGCCACATC